TAAGAACATAGTCTATCTTTAAAATTATTTATCCTCCTTCTGTGTTTTAGTAGTAAAGCTGTTTGCATATAAGTTTTATTTCTAGTTATATTATTTTGTAGCTCAATAATGTACTAAACTATTTTATTATTTGTTATCATTTTTCAGTTGATTCACGTAAAGTGCCTAGGTCTGAATCACAAAATCTACAAAAAAATTAGTTTTATCTACTTTTCTTTTTTTTAAAAAGGATTTTATTTATTTGACACACAGATCACAAATAGGCAGAGAGGCAGGCAGAGAGAGAGAGGGGGAAGTAGGCTCCCTGCTGAGCAGAGAGCCCTGTGCAGGGCTCAATCCCAGGACCCTGAGATCATGACCTGAGCCAAAGGCAGAGGCTTAACCCAGAGCCACCCAGACGCCCCTCATCTCCTTTGTGATTTATCTTCTATGTTCTCTTTTCTAACAGTACTGACTACTACTGTTGGTAAAATATTAAATAATGGTGTAACAGTAGCCATCTAAATCCGGTTTTAATTATAGAGGAAATGTGTTTAGTATTTCCCCATTAACCATGATACAGATTTTCAGTTGAGATAAGTATACTTTATCATATAAGCTATTACTGATATTTATTATATTTATATTTTTAAATTATTATATTTATATATATTATATTTATTACTGATATTTGTTGATATTTATTATTGATATCTCACTATTCATATTTCCTCATTTAAAAAAATCAAGAATATAAATTGTATTTTATCAAAAACCTTCTGACTATCTATGAATACGGGCATGATTTTATGTCTTAGCTCTAAGCCCTACTCATATGATCGATTATACAACATTTTGCTCCAATTCCCTTTTGTCTGGTATCAATAACACCATGACTACTACTTCCATTATGAGGGGATTTGCCTATCCTTTTTCATCCTTTAAACTTTTCCAAATAATTTTGTTTTAGATATGCCTCTATAAAGTATAGAGAATTATGGTTTTGTTTTGTTTTTTTGTGATCCAAACTGAAATTTTCTTTTTCTCTGAATAGGTGAGTTTAACCCATTTACATTTATGGATGTAAAAAATTTATGGATATGATAAACATTTTTTTGGATCATCCTTTACCATTTTATATTATCTTTTCTGTATCTGTAATTTTTCTTTTGTTTTTAAGTGGTTCACTACATGATCTTTTGGACTTTTCCCCAAGGATTAGTTCTTACATTTAGGAAGTTTGTGGTTTTGTTTTCATAGCTAACTTTGTAATTACATTACAGAATACTTTCAGTTCTCTATTTTCAACACTATTAATCTCCTATCATGAACAATGATGAAATTAGTATATTTCTTTATTCCTCCCTTCCCTTTTTTCATATTTTTTTTTAAATTCAAAACATAGATGTATTGATGATACTAACAGCGAATACAGAAGTGGGCACAGAGTTAATACGCAGCTTAGTAGAAATCAAACCATGTCATAGTCCAACTGACTTCAAGGTGGGAAATGGCACTTCACGTTTTTTAAATGTCACTACTATTAAGGTATAACTTATATGCAATAATAAAACTTGCTCTTGGGGCGCCTTGGTGGCTCAGTGTTAAAGCCTCTGCTTCAGCTCAGGTCAAGATCCCAGAGTCCTGGGATCGAGCCCCGCATCAGGCTCTCTGCTCCACGGGGAGCCTGCTTCCTCCTCTCTCTCTGCTTGCCTCTCTGCCTACTTGTGATCTCTGTCTGTCAAATAAATAAATAAAAAATCTTAAAAAAAAAAAACAAACTTGCTCTTTTTGGCCTTTTTGGTGTATTATTGTACGGGATTTGATAAACACATACAGTCATGTAATCACCACTACAATTGATATAGAGTCTCTCACCACAATCCCCACCACTAGATTGTAATCAGTACTACTATTTTAATATTAACTCTGCAGTGCTAAATGTGCTTACAATTCCATTACTTGATTTGTCAGCTTTAAATGAGATTCCATGAATTCTTGCTATTAAAGATAATGCAACTCAAGTATATAACGCTTCTTCCCACCTGCCTCCTGAATTCTTTTTCCAGTTTTTGTAAAATGTAGTATTTGACACTGTTAGAGTATAATATATATATATATATATATATATATATATACACACACACACACACACACACATACATTCTAGGTAATCATCCTAAAACATACATTTGTTTTTGTCTTAATTCTAGTTGTAGAAATATGCATAGGTCATAGCACATCATTCTTTCCCCCCAATTTTTAATTTAAATTCCAGCTAGCTAACCTACAACACAATATTAACTTCAGGTATAGAATTTCATAATTTGTCACTTACGTACAATACCCTGTGCTCATGACAGGTGCCCCTCCTTATACCCATTAGGTATTTAACCCATCTCCCTGTCCATAGCATATCATTTTCTTAGTTTAACTCTTTATCTATAGGTTAGCTGAATATAAAACACTATGGTTCCTGAACACAACTTGTGCTTTATAAATCTTAGCTAAAAATAGTAGAAGCAATCTTTAGTAAATACATTTTCATTAACTTTATAAAATCATTTTTATTAGTAGTAATAGTGGTCAATAATACTGGAGAATTTGCTTGGTGATAATAGGGAGAATATACACTCTGGCTGACTGTGTTTTATGAAGGACTTCCTCCATACCATCGTATATATAGTGAGACATAAACTGTACCTAAATTCATGGGAAAATATCAATTGTGGTCCCTTCATGCTTATATGAATCTTTAGTATTTTCCCCTCTCTCATAATTCAATCATTCTTTTTAAAAAATCATTGCATTAACTGCTTATTAAATCTTTCTTTCAGAAAAACATAAAAGAAAAATTTGCTTTGTAACAGAAGAACGAGCACCTGATAACTGGTGATATTCATTAGGCATACTCAAACACAAAAGAAGTTAAATGGTCTACTTCACGTTACTCATTTCTGACTTTGCCTTCTTTTCTCAATTCTGTCAATAAGCAACATTCAATAGCACTGCCTAGGCAGTTAAATGCTGCCCTCTCTTCAATATATCTCCAGATTACCTCAGTGCTAATATGAGCTACATAAAAATATGAAAAGAACTAGACTTAGGAGCCTTCAATTCATCCCTGATGATGGGAAATACTCTGCTACTGTTTCATCAACTATAACCTCATTATTTTCATGCTGTAAGTTCTTAATGAATTTCACTGAGAGTTCAATTTAAATGCATTAAGTTGCTGTCAGTCCTTCAGTAAGATCAATGAATACCATTTGGGGAGGTATGGAAACAGATTCCTGAATCTTCCCTAGAATGTCAAGGCAAGAATCAGAATCAAAAAAGTACACTTTAGTAGGGATACAAAAAGGGATTCTGAAAAGAACATGAACATTGGAATTGGCAGATCTCAGTTTTTAAAAAAAAAACAGTCAAAGCTTGACCACTTAATATGCGTCCTCTAGGACACCTTTGTTTCTAAAATTCAGAGGGCTGTTGTGACGATTAAACATGTAATAATAGAAATAAAAGTATAATATTAAGCAGCTAGTAGACAATCAACAAATGGTAGATGGTATTAGTTTCAGTCACTAAGTATAACAGTCATTTAAAAAAAGCCACTCAACTATAGATAGCTGTAGCCGATTTTTGCAGGGTAAAGTATATCTAAAAATTCTAGCCAGGTTCATGTCAGAGATCAGTAATATATCTTGAAATGCTTGCAGGAAATATAGTGATAAAATAAATGAAAGTATTTTGAAAAAGAAAGGCAAACCATTTAAAAGCTATTATAAAGAATTCTATTGTACTGGAGAATTCTCTGTGCTTTGTTTTGGCCTCACTGATTTTTATGGTACCATAATTGCCAAAGTGATTTCACAGAATATGGATGGGCAGGAGGCATAATTATGATCGAGGCTTTATGTCACTAGTTCAAAATGTCCAATTTTCATCTACCTTTTTTTACATAATAATTTTTCAGATTTTCTATTTTATTTATCTATTTGAGACAGAGAGAAAGCATGAGATGAGGGGAGGGGAAGGAAGGAAAGGGACAGAGGGAAAGGGAGAAGCAAACTCCCCACTGAGCAGGGATCCATCTCAAGACCCTGAGACCATGACCTGAGCTAAAAGCAGACACTTAACCAACTGAGCCATCCAGGTGCCCCTTTACATAATAATTTTAACAACTGTACTCTGGCCACAGAAACCACTTGGTGATCTTGAAGCTTTGAGAAAGTGAAGGTTCAGGAAGAGGTAAATGAAGGGAGACAGATGCCATTCAATTCAGTTTTAATGATTTGATTCAATAAACTTACATGATGCTCTATCTATGTTCCAGGAGCAGTAGAGCTTGTTCAAGAGTCAAATATGGACAAAATATAATCCCTGCCTTGAAACGGACTGTTTGCATATAACTGTTCACAGCAGAAGGCTTATGAAAACACAATCTCACTTACGGTGTACAGAACATGAGAAAGCTTTCCAAATTTATTGGGATCCAATAAAAAATACTGATAAAAAATCCAGTACATCCAGTATAAAAAATACTGATTGGGTATGCTGCACTTCATAAACAGTCATTTTTTAAAATGTTCTCATTAAGTTACAGAGATGACAGGTTTATATGTTTAGTGAAGTCACAGAAAATTTTCCAGTAAAGTAGGCACTTTCCAACCTAGTATGAAAAACTCTTTTAGAAAAAAACAAACACCTAGATGTCATAAGGATTAAAAATCAAAAGGAGTTTCTGTTAAGCTTTTGATTTCAACATCAAATAGCTTCCAAAGCTAGTATTTTTATACAAAGCATTCTTGAAATACCATTAACTTAGAGTCCTGCATATTTTCTATAATGTTCCACTATCAACAGTATAGTAAACGACTGTCTTCAAACTTCATCTGATGTAAACCTCTTTCATTTCTATTGGGAACTTTCTCAGTCGTGAATAGTTTATTTGAAATCCGAAGGTTCACTTGGTTCTGCCAGACTAAAATTACATTATTAAAACTAGAATTTTTACTCACCCGATCCTCCTTTTGCCAAGTATTTGTTCTTTGCATAAAGGACAGAATCTAACATAGACTCAAAAAGAAGAAAATAGCCCTGCATAAATAAACACAAAAAAAGGATTTTAGAAATGTGTAATCAATATCCTCATAAGTTTATCAACTTAAATATCTGGGCTACTCTTTCTATAAAAGATTTTTTTTTTGTCTCTGCCATGTAATTTTCTACAAAGTTTGAAGTTACTTTTTGCATTAAATTCTCCAAGTACATTTAAAAAATCAGGCCAGGGTATAAAGTGGACCCAGACAGTTTATTACAGTCAAATGTACTGAACCTTCTTAATCTGTGCTTCTGCTTTCTAGACCATTGTTTCTTCCTCATTAAAAGGAAAATCTGAGACAGAAATTGTTAATGTACCCTCTAATTACCTAGAATATTGCAGTATTAATCCAGACAGTGGCTCTCAACCAGATTTTTGTCCACTAGAGGACATCTGACAATATCTAGTGCCATTTTTGATGATCACAACCCGGGGGGAAGGAAGGGTGCTACTGGCATCTAGTCAGGTAAAGCCAAGAAATGTTGATAAACATTCTATAATGCGCCAGAAGCTCTATGACAAAGAATGGTCCAACCCCAAAAGTTGATAGGGCTAAGGTTAAGAAAGCGTAGTCTAGGGGCGCCTGGGTGGCTCAGTGGGTTAAAGCCTCTGCCTTCAGCTCCGGTCATGGATCCCAGGGTCCTGGGATGGAGGCCCACATCAGGTTCTCTGCTCAGCAGGGAGCCTGCCTCCTCCTCTCTCTCTCTGCCTGCCTCTCAGCCTACTTGCGATCTCTGTCTGGCAAATAAATAAATAAAATCTTAAAAAAAAAAAAAAAGAAAAAGAAAGCCTAGTCTAGACTAGCATTTCCCAAAGAGCTTCTTATCCAGTGAGTTTCTCTTCTGTTAAAAAAGTAAATAAAGAAAGAAAGAAAAGAAAAAGAAAGAAAGGAAAAAAAAAAAGGGAGGGAATCTTTAAGAAACCCCAGATGCTTTTCCTCCTCTTGAGATTCATAATGCACGTTTTCACGTTGATAGTTCTGGGAAGTGTTACGGTAAAAGAGGACTACTGAACATATCTTAACTATGTGTTACCCTTTTGCTTACAAACCTCTTTTCTCCCCTACTTTACACCTATCAATACCTTGCACAACTAGTGTTCTATGTTCATGAAATACAGCCCTGAAGTACTCCAGATTTTAGACACCAGTAATGAATCCTCCACCAAGAAAGAATAATCATAGCACAGGTGAAAAGAAAATTTACCACTACTGGTATCATGAGTAAGGGATCAATGACAGCTTGAGTCAGTCTTTCTCCTTCTAGAGTCTACCCCGCTCCCCACCTGGAGCAGCAGGAAGAGTCAAGTGCTCAGTTCAGTGCTTAGCACAGCAAACACTTTCTTACTGCTTAGAGTAAACCAACAGGAATTCTGCCCTAATGACAGCATTCTAAATAAAAACTGTTCTCACTTACTCATTTGTTCTGTGCACAAATAACTGTTTGACAGGATAAATGCAATACTCTTTAACCACATGAACAAAGACTTTTTAAAGGGGTCTCTAGAATAGGAAAACCTGCAAACTTGAGATGGATTATCTTCACAAGGGATTATTATCATTATTTTTAAAGATTTTATTTATTTATTTGAGAGAGATTGAGGGAGAGAGGGAGAGAACATAAAAGGGGGGAGGGTCAGAGAGAGAAACAGACTCCCTGCTGAGCAGGGAACCCCATGCGGGACTTGATCTTGGGACGCCAGGATCATGACCTGAGCCAAAGGCAGTCCCTTAACAAACTGAGCCACCAAGGTGCCCCAAATCTTCACAAGAGATTAACAGCACATTTAAATTTATAGAAAATACAGCTCACAAGCCTGAATCACTTTAAAAAAAACCCACCTAATTAAACTGCCACTAGCAACTCTATATTGATGTTTACCCATTCCCAGCAAAATACTTGTCTACAAAAGAAAAACTTAGCAACAAAGACTTTTATTAATTTGTTTACATTAGGAAAATGATTTGGTGGAAGCTGTTCTTCTGGTTAGAGCATCTCAGTAATATGTCCAACTCTTACAAGTTTGTTCACTATTAGTATCATCTGCGTATTCAAAGAACAAGGAACTTTTGGAAGTTAACTAAGCAATCTTTATCAGTCTGACCTAATTCATGCAGATCTATGCACACAACTCCTTATAAATAAGCATTCATGTGTTGATTAAAGTGAATTTTAACTGAATTATTCAAAGAGAAGTCTTCTGTTTTCCTCCTATTACTTTTTTTCAGATGAGCCAAGACTATGTGTATGTGTGCACAGACAAAGGAAAAAGATCAGCTGGTAAAGCACGTTGACAGGGAAAAAACAGTCCTTATTTGTAAGACTGCTGCATGTTAAACCATTAATTTAAATAAAATAAGTTAATTCACATTTTGATACATACTAAATATTCATTAGTATGTCTAGTCTTTTTTGGAAGGGGGCAAAAAAAATTAGTTTGTCATTGATTTGGCACTGTGTCAAACTGTTTTTAGTATTAACTTTCAAAGTAGTTGGCAAAAAGCTAAGTATTTTGCTTCCTATGTCCAAACTGTCTTACTTCCATGTACTACAAATAAACCAACCTCTTTTCCATCAGTAACTGAAAGAAGCTCCTTCTAAAAACATGCTTATTTACTGTATCTATGATAAAGTTATTATTAGCTATCCATTAGAGAATAAATTGTGGCATATTTTAAACTGGTGCTACAGTCAATGCCAATAGTGGTGAAAAGGGTATACTCCTGGGTTTAAATCCCAGTGGAGTACCTTTTTTAGAAAAGATTTTATTTATTTATTTGAGAGAGAGAGAAGAGACCCTGAAAGCATGAGTGGGAGCGGGGAGAAGGAGGCAGGGGAAGAAGGAGAAGCAGACTCCCTGCTGAGGCGGGGGCTCAATTCTAAGACCCTGGGATCATGATATAAGTCTAAGGCAGACACTTAACTGACTGAGCCACCTGGGCACATCACGGAGCCCCCTTTCTCTATATGACCTTGGACAAATTAACATCATTGTGCCTCAGTTTCTTCATCTGTAAAGTGACAACTATGGTATTCTACTTTATAAGGCTGTTCCAAAGATTAAATATGTTAATACATATAAAAGATTAGAAAAATAAATCTTATTTAGCCTAAAATTCAAGAGCTATTTAAAAAATATATTTGTGAAGGCTTGTCAAAAGTTTAAAATTATATTTAATAAACTAGAAAATAGAGTTTTACCAGGCTGTCCAGAATCATCTCATGTTTATTTAGTCAATGGGTCTTATATTATAACCCATGAGTCAGAACTAGAATTCCTCTTTTTTCTTTTTCTAGGGGGTTTAGAGAATACATTTTCTTGTGTCACTTCTTTCAGACCAGTGAAGATTATGTATATGTGTGCACATACAAAAAATATAAAACACTCAAAATTTCTTTACATTAAGAAATAGAATTTTAAAACCCCCCAAAAGTAATTTGGTTATATTGGCCAAATTAGTGCCAATTCCAACTTCAAGATTCTTCTCACAAAGATAATCACAAGAATTTTTTTCCCCACAAGGCAAAAAAAGAAAAAAAAATCAGCTTTATTTAATACTTCAAATTTTGGTATTTACACTTAAGACACTCCCATATGTCTGCTTCTATTTAAAATAGTTAACATCAATAAGCATTTTTCCACATAGCCTATAATGATTACCTTAGCTAAGCTTACAATTCTGATTAAACCATATTAGAGATAGTTCCTATGGTCTTAAATATTCAAACAACCTAATATCACATTACAGACCTCAACAATAGAGAAGTTCAATGCCTTAAGTCATATGACTGGATGAGTAACACTGGACGATTTTTTGCTCCCCTTAGAAAACACTGGTTTTATGATTCAATTCCTACTGCTGCTAAATTCAACAGTAAAATCAGGTGCAAACAAACAAAAGAAAGATAATCATCCTTGGCAGCAAAAATACCCTTTCGATAAATGCCATGTTTTTCCTTCCCATTTTCTCAATCAGTCATCATTACTGATCAGAGAATTTCTGAAAGCAAACAGTCAAATGCTTTTGTTGACACAGGTAAAGGACTTAGCACAGTTCTTGGCATAGGGTTAACACATAAAACCTGTGAAAAACTGTATCACATAATTCTTTAATTTGGTAGAAATCACTATGTGGGCTCAGCTACCATGTCATAGATTGACTAATATGGATGGAAGCAGAAGGCTAATTCAAGTCTTGCTTCTTTCATCTTTCCCCATTTTTAGCTCCCTTTTCTCTCTGCATTGTTGTACAATTAATAATGGTATTCTATATCTATACATTTTTTACTTCAGTATCGAGTTATTACTTATGTAAGTATATGATGAGGCTTCTAATCTATCAAAGCAGTTTGTAAGCCTTAAGTTAAAGACTAGCTGAACTACTAAATCAACAGAAAAGCATTCCTTCAAACCAACAATAGATTAATATTTCTTCACATTTAGACTCAGTGAAGACTGACAATTTCATTGGTCATTAATTTCACTCAGCAGTCAGATTTCTGCTCAACTATTACCTCCTCAAAAAGGATTTTCCTGATGTCTCCACATAAAATAGCATCTTTTTCCTCTATTACGCTCCATCTATTTACCTTACGTTATACTTCATTGTGACACTCATGAATTAAAATGTAGTTTATTTTTGTGTTTAACTCTTGACTAAAATGTAAGCTTGAAGAGGAGCAAGGACTTTATACTGTTTGAAGGTACATTCCTAAGGGCTATATATGTGGCTAGTAGATTGCAGGAACTCAGTAAAAAACTTTTGAACGAATAAAAAAATAAGAGTTATTAGTATCATACATCATTATATTTGTTAAAAATGAAACAGTACCCGCTTTTTCTTATTTTTCTCATACTTAATAAAACTGGGTATTTTAAGAACCCTTTTTGAGCCCAACATGGTGCCTGCACTCACAACCCCGAGAATAAGACTTGGGCTGAGATCAAGAGCTGGCATAAACCATAGGACTTAAAAGACAGCTCACAGTCACAGGAA